TTGTTCTGCATTAGCACTCAGCATTATTCCGACGGAGCTCAGAAACACGATCCGCTTCTAACAATGGTCGCGGCCAGACTAACCGATGCACGTGAATGAAACTTTGTGTGACGGTAGAGGGAAGTCCAAGGGTCAATGCCCTACCCTCCTCTTCGTCAATGACGTGGCCGGAAATGAGTCATAAAAGTAATCCGGGTTCTTTATTGCCACACCTTGTATTATTTTCAGTGGTCTATGAACTGTTTTTGGCTGTATTCTTCAACAGTTGCAACACCACTTTAGTTATGACAATAACCTCTTCTTGTCCTGTCATAGCACCAGACAGCTGCACCACAGTGATGACAATGAGTGTGTCATCCATTGCATTACTGTTTCTGTTTTTAGCCTGCATTGACTGACCTGAGGTTTGATTGCTGTCTTCATGTATGTAGTGTCCTGAAGACTACTGCTGTTGTGGCAGCTTCTGCTGTCATTGTTGTTTGGAGCCATGGACAGCAGCAATGAATTACTGATAAGGTGTCATGCATTTCAAGAAGAATGTTCTCCCTGCTGACCCTGCTTTTTCACTCATAGGTCTGCACTGCAACTCCTCTTTCATGTGGCTGCAGCCTTTGTAGCTTGTTGGGAGTGGCGAGTCCCCAATCTTTCAAGTTGCAATCGCAACAAGCCGAGACACTTTCTGAGTTTTGTTCTTCTGGGCACTCGGAATGCCAGTGTTAACACCCACACCATAGGCAACACAGAGGCTGCCTACAGTGCACCCAGATATAACTAAAACACTGATACTTGAAAAACTGTCAGCCCATTTTTAAATCTACAGGCCCTGACTTAATTAAGTGGAGACTGAACTCAGTTAATGCTTGCTATCATTCAGTCCAGAACCTTGTCTTCTTGTCTGCTGTCCAAAAACATAAAAATTAGAATATACAAAACTATAATTTTGCCTGTGGTTCTGTATGGATTTGAAACTTGGTCTCTGATATTATGGGAGGAACACAGACTGAGGTGTTGAGCAGAATATTTGGACCAAAGAGAGTGAGAGCTTGACTTTTATAATTATATTAGAGTGATGGTAAAGGCAAAGTTGTCCCTGTGCTTAACTAATTAAGCACTACACCATGAAGGCGTATGGGGAGTGGATGTATGGATCCACATTTTCTTGACCTCGGCTCTAGTTGGAGGTGAGTAGTCAGCTTCACGACCTGGCCACTTTATCCCCATGGAAAAAGCCCTCGGTACCCACTGTATAGGAGGTTGGGTGGACCCCAGTGCCGGTCTGCATGACATGGAGAAATGAAAATTCTTGCCTCACTGGGACTCAAACTCCGATTCCTCCGTCCTCCAGCCCACAGTCAGTTGCTATACCAACTGAGCTATCCTGGTTCCCTTACAGAGTGATGAGTTTCAATATTTCTTAAGATTTTTTAATTGTTGCACATGTTATTACGAAGAAAGGGAGTGAAGTTTGTATCACCTCTCCCTGTGATCATTTGTTTTGCATTGATATCATAGTCTAGCTCCTGGGGGACACAGTGATGTCCTCTGAAGGAATATTGCCAGCTGGATGCCTGATAATGGCTTTAACAGGTCTGTCCTTGCCTCACAGGGCCAAGTGATAGAGCCTCAGAATGGACTACACAAAAATCACCTTTTCTTGCAGTTGGTTTGTTGCAGTGTGACATATCTGTTGCAGAGACAATATAAAACACTGGTTCAAAGATGTCCTCTGTTGTCATGTACATAAGTGTGGCTGTTGTCACATGATGCCTACTGAGCCACTGCCTAGCAAAAGGTATCTGTTTAGGTCACTGTGGCCTAGCAACCGCTGTCTCTGCTGGCTTCACAATTCTGGCTTTCAGCAGACATATAATATCTACAGAGGTACTAGGTGGTACAATAATTAATGCACTGTGTCTGTTCATGAGCCTACAGGAAAACTGCCAAACATAAAAACTGAGTTCTTCATGTCTGCAGTGTTTGTACCATTCATTACAAATATTCTTTTCCATACAATTGCCATATAAGAAATATACAGCAATAAAAGGCAGTGTTGCAGTCAGTACCACAGTGTCCATTGTGGCTAGAGAAGGGTACCACTGGACTCTTATTACTATTCTTATTTTATCAAGATCTGAAATTTCAACAAGTTCAAGCCATGTATATTCTGTGAAACCGTGTTGTTGAGTATATCTAATATGTCCCTAATGTGTAAAAGTCAGAAGGCTATCTGCATAAACTGTAGTTAGAAATGGGGACTGGCAAGTTGTTGAATTCTCAATGGGTATGCCACTAGTTTCTTTAACCTTTATCGGACGGGCCATTTAATTTCCGGTAGGGGCAGCTGGACGGAGTTTATTTAAATGCCCACCCTTCTAGGGCAATGAAATTGTAAGCATGTTTCTAAAAATGGTGTAATTTCTACATTTTTTATGATAAACGAACGAAATTAACGCTCCTTTAATGTAGAAAGATTATAGAATCAGATATTCTAATTTACAGATTTTAATATCTGTAAAAAATTTTTACACTCATTCCAAAAAAAAAAATCCCAAAATTCATACATTTTCTGCACCATGCGTTCTAGCAGTGTAATACATTTTCTGCACCATGAGTTTTAGCAGTGTAAAAGTCCTTGTCGCGACCTCATACAATACTATTGCTTGTTGAAGCTTATTTATCGTATGGGACATGACGGTATGCAAAGACTGTGGGCATCTGAAATTCGTTCACTGTTAGAAAGACACATGATTACATTCTCAGAATATGGTGTTGCCAGATCGGTCATTCGTTCATTCATTGCAGTCAAACCATTGTGTTTGTAATGATTTTGAAACATTGCAATATAAGTTTAGCCACCCATGACATCATGAGGTAGATATTGCATTCAGCCAAGTCGTGAATGAGATTTTTGTATGTGTGGGCTCGAGGTTAAGATTTATAGCTTCTTATCGTGGTCTAAGCACAGAGATTCACATGTCGGTGTAGCTGCAGGGATAAATATCACTTGTAGCTCGATATAACTGGCCTGCTTCCTCTAAATCGCAACTGTGGTGTCGTGTGTGCTTTTCGCGTGGGAAGCGGTCTAGCGTTCGTATGAAGTGCGTGAGCTGCAACGTCGGACTCTGCATTTCGGAATGTTTTCGGCAGTACCATACGAAGGCCACATTACCATAGATGACGCAAGAGGGAAGGCTGTTTCCTCACGAAGATGGTGAACATATATTACGTAAGTAGAGCAAAAATTTAATTTTAAATTTAATTTTAAAAAAATCTTTACACGCGTACAATGTGCGAAATCATATGAGGTCGTTCGGCCATATGACGTCGGTAGATTACATTAGATCACGCAGGAGGGAAGGCTGTCACCTTATAAAGGTTGTGACCAAAAATTATGTAAATAGAACAACAATTTATATTTTAAATTTAATTTTAAAAAAATCTTTACACGCGTGGAATGCGCGACATCATATGATGTCGTTCTTCAATTTGTCCTTACTTTTAACGTCATATGACGTCGCTAGATTACATTAGATCATGCAGGAAGGAAGGCTGTCTCCTTATAAAGGTGGTGACCAAAAATCATGTAAATAGAACAACAATTTATATTTTTAATATAATATTAAAAAAACCTTACACGCGTGGAATCCGCGACATCATATGATGACGTTCGGCCAGCTGCCCTTACTTTTAACGACATCATATGATGACGTTCGTCCGATAAAGGTTAATAGCTCGTAGTTTTGCTATTTTGGTCCCTATCAACTGTTCTGGTTTCTCTGCTTTTTAAAGAAAACCAAAATTGTGTAGAAGGCCCAAGGAATTAAGCTCAACTGCGTTACAACTATCTGAAATATAGAATGTCTTGACCAGCTGACCAACTACCAACTTTTCAAGGAAGACTCTGTACATACTCAGTAATCTGAAATTCACCTAGGTGATGAAGGATGTGGACCATGCTCTTCTTCTAGAATTGGACTGGGTCCATTCTTTGCAGCCACATCACTCCCAATGTCATGGTCCAAATGGTCGAGTTCTTCTGTGAGGCTGTGGAATGAGTCTATGCTCTTGGTTTCATGTGAGGCAATATCCAAAGGAACAACTTCTCCTGGCAAACCACTACGTGCCCTCTCTTCAGCTACTGGCTTGACAGTCACAACACTGCCAGTATCTGTCAGTGAGAGACCTGTTTCTGACTGAGATGGCTCTGGGATGGTGATGATGGTAGCGGAGTTCAATTTGAGAGGCTGTGTGCCGGCAACCAATACGGCTGATGAATGACCACTGACACATGTCTCTTCCTGAGTAGCAGCTGCATTTTTGGCTGCCTGAGTGCAGCTCTGGAGAAGCTCAATGTGTGTACGCCATTGCACTGGCGACATCTGGACATCTACTCTTCTCTCCAAGATATCATTCACTGCGAACAAATGTGAAAGTCACTTGCCACCTAACATGTTCACTCAACAAATGACCAAGCCTCACAAGCTGGATTTGAGGTTCTCATAGCAATAACTATGAAGTGTATTACTTCTGGGATGTCACAAATACAAATAAAGGCTTGCTTATCACTCGCTATTTCCTTGGCTGGAAATTCTATCAGACTAAGTGGTGTCACAACCCAGAAGACGGTACTCTTCAAGTACCACACTGAACAAAATTTGGTCACCAACAACATCCCTTGTGGATGTCCAAATGTACTAAGAAATTACAAGTACTGCTTGTCTAATACATCTTCAACAGTACATCATGCCTTAAGAGGGCAACCTTACAGAAAAAAAAGTCCTGTGTGTTCAATGTGATTTCTTAAGCAGTGACTGGTTGCCACTGTATGATGAAAACAGAATCCAGTAACTGTCTAAGGTATACTGATCTATGTCACCATGACAACACACTCCCAAAGATGACACAGCACAGAAGGGATGGAATTTCTATACAGTATTCACAAATAAACAAGAATCAATAAAATCTGAAACCAGGGCTGTAAGGTCTGAAAGTGGAGGCACTACAAGAAACGTTCATCAAGTTGAGGATATACAGAGGAATGGGGACAGGCTATGCAAAGAGAGTAATAGAAAGTTTACACAATTACAATGTTGAATAAATGATGACTGATGATGAAAGGACAAGCTGGAGAGACCAAGTGACAGACTATGCATAACAGGATAGGAAAGCAGAGAACACAGATAAAAGAGGAGAGTTTACTGGAAGAAAGAGAGGAACAGAGGAAGCTTTGTCACAGGATGACTCATTCTGGTGAAAACATTAATGGAAGACAATGCTCACTCTTCTGAGTATTAGCTCACATTGTCTGTTCTGAGTGTCTCAAAGCAGGATCTTTTGGTTCTAGTCAATCAATATGCATGAGAGTTTACCTGATCTATGCACATCCTGATCCTGCGACTCATCTTCATTTGCATGAGAATGAGTGATCAGTGTTGAGTCTGTGTTTAGCATCAGGCAAGGCCGACCTTCAACACACACAGCTGTGAAAATAAATTCATACTGTGCTTTATGCATCAGCCACATTAAATCACTGCAACTGTTGCCTGCAGTCATGGTCTGGTCTCTATCTGCCTAACATTGCTGATATACTTGTGGCTTCTTCTACAGTGCTCTCAGTACCTACACCATATAGCACTGAATAATAGGGCGATGAACGGATGAATGATGGTTGTTGCCTAATCAAGTTGCTACCCTGGAATTTGCCTGGAGGGGCTGGGGAAAACCATAGAAACCTCAGTCAGTAGAGCCAGTGTTCTAGATGAGATACAAAACAAAAATCTCCCACATACAAGCCTGGTGCATTAATGTTATGCCAACTAGCTCAGTCCTGACAGTGAATAAGGAGTACACTAGTGGGTTATGGGAACCTGTGACAGACAGTGCTCCTCCCGGTGATACGATGAATGATGCCAGAGGGAACATACACCTTAATACAGAACCTGAACCATGGAGAGGCCTGGTATCCCACATTCAAAAGTTGTACCTTTGTTAGAGGTGAAAAAAGTGACAGGCATATAGAAACACCTACATTGGATCTACCTGGTTTTGAACCTCATGCCTTCGGAACCTTCTTTAGACAACCAGTTTCACTTCATTGGAACTGCTAGTTTACAGAGAATGAGTATGATGGCATAACACAAAAATTTAAACCAACACATAATGTTCTTTGCAAATGTCAGCAGCACTGGTAGAACTGAAAGAAGTAAGCTGTATTCGAGGTTCTCAAAGAGACTATAAAGAGTACTGGGGATGTTTTTCTGCCAAATTACACATTGCCACTGACAGGCTGGTCTACAGGTAACACTCTAGACTTTAATTCAGAAGATGCTCAGTCTGAATCTCAACTGGGAAACCAGCTATCCTGACTAAGGTCTTTGTGGTTTTCCTCAGTCCCTCAAGAAAAATGCTGGAATAATACCTTGATTAAGCCACAACCACTTCTTTCCTGATTCTTTCCAAGTCATCAATCATCGGTCATCCCACCATCCAGTGCTATACAGTCTTGACACTGAAAGCATCAGTAAATAACCTATAACAAACAACTATACAGTGTCACATCCCAGATTAGCTAAGTAGCTCATACAGGCTATCCAACTGTTCAGGAAGTTATAACTCAATTTCAGGGCAGTCCATATAGAATCTTCTGGGATGTGACACTGTGCACTCTGGTAGAAGTTCACCAACATTTCAGGAACATGTGAAATTCAGTGCAGAGATATATCAAAGATATCTAAACATTATATATATATATATATATATATATACACACACACACACAGAGTGTCCCAGGAGGAATGGACCAAACTTCGGGAGGGTGTTCCTTATGTTAAAATATGCCGATATAACCCAAAACACCTATGTCCAAAGTTGAACGGTTATGGAGATAATGGCCAGAGAAGTGTCAAACTCTGACCAGTGTTGCACACTTGTTGATTACAAAATACATATTAAAACTGGCAGGAATATGTGGATTCTGTAATGTTAATAATGTACGTAACATCAAACTAAGCTGTGAGTGACATGAAGCCATAAAATTGAAGTACAAAACACTTGCTCACCATGTCATAATTGTCCTTAGGGTTTCCAAGCACTATACATGACACATGAATGGCAAGCGCTAACGTAACATGGCTGACTGCGCGTTCTGATAAAGCCAACTACATACGTACGGCTAGGGTGAATCATGGCACTCAAGGACAAACATAGATAAGGCCTCTCAGCTGAGAGGTACAGTGCATGGACCTGCCAGAAGACCACACTTTTCTTGGGCCATTATCTCCGTAACCGTTCAACTTTGGACATAGGTGTTTTGGGTTATATCGGCATACTTTAACATAAGGAACACCCTCCCAAAGTTTGGTCCATTCCTCCTGGGACACCCTGTATATGAAACACTGTTTCAAGTAAAAACTACACATATGGGGACAGTGCAAAATGAGGTTAAATCTCACAAATTTAATGTAGATACAATCTGTACTTGAACAATAAGTTATCCATAAAAATAATGTGTAGGATTGGAAATTTATGTGACGGATCAATAGGCTTTATGAGTTCTGCTCAAAAAAAACCTTGTTTTATAAATGATGAGTCATGCCTTGGCAGATGAGCAAATGCTAGGCAACATGACTCAAACGGGCATTACGGAAATTCCATAAATGGAAGACTCAGTATGTTTAACTCACATTCAATACGGACCAGCTCCATACCACCATCGATGGACAGTTTACTTGTCATGAATTGGCTTCCCAATTTTGTCAGGTGTTCCACGTCTGTCTCAAGAATGACACCAAAGTAGTCACTAGCCTGCCATACCCGTGGTACACCAAACTGCTCCAGCTGTGGATAACAGTACAACTATAACATGACCAGCATTCACTCGTTTCAAACACATTACTTAAGTTGAGAGGAGAGGGGTGACAGCATTTTGTAATGACAGGTAAGGTGGGACAAGGAAGTTAGAACACTGAGTTCACATAATTATTACATTACTTTTAAATGGTATTCAAGCATCTGGAATTATCATGGAACTGGCTAAAATTTCAAAGGAAATTTACCACATCCATGAAGTTACTTCAAAAACAAAGTTTTGATTCACATACATGAAATGAAAAAAGAGCTTGTACTGATGTCTGAAACCTTTGAGAGTTCTATACCGGGGGAGTTTTGTTGTATATATGGCTGATATGTTCTTTTTTTATTTGATTTATATTATGAATGCCTCGACTTGTTCCTGTGGGAATGGAATGTTTGTTTTTTGATCTGTGACTCATTCTATATCCAATCGTTATTTCCCAGCCTGTATCTGGATCTATTTTTGAATTTGAAATAAATTGAATTGAATTGAATCCACCATGTGGTGCTACTTGCAGCTGCCACTAGGAGCACTGCCCACTGCCCTCCCTCATGCAGGTGCCATTACAGTACAGGCCAGTTAAGTTTGCGATCACATTACTGTATGCCTAAGACTCACCAGTCTGGTATAATACCTAAGGAGACACCCATGCAAGATCTAAAGTAAAATCTCACTGCATCACTTCTGCTTTGGTTTCTGTATTCATTTTTCTCATGCAACAGTACACCCAATTCCCAGGTCTGTCAGCTACTAACATTTACAAAAACAATTATTTGCGGAGAAACAAACTTTTAAGTATACTCTGTAGAGACATGTCTGAATTGAGTTACTGAATGTCAAGACATGTGGTACATATAGTTACCACTGTCATTTAAAGTGTTAATACTGGCTGTAAGCAAATATACTACCATCCATATGACCTCCCATGAAAATATGGAGCTGCCATGCCACATAAATAAAACATAATGATTTAAAACTAATTTACATTAAATATGTTGCCATACTGGGACCATGGAGGGGAGTAATGGATTCACTCCCTCCACACCTCCCTCCAGTTGTTGTACATTGCCCTCCAACAAACTTCTCTATACAGTGAAAAACAAAATCAAAGCAGACTATGTAGCCTGTAGTCCGCAAAAGAATTACACCGAACAAGTGACCATCACTTATCGGCAAAGTTAGTGCCAACTTTTGCAGATAGAGGGTGTCACGTGGTCAGCGCAATGGATCCCCATGGCCGTTAATCTTGGTTTTCTAACTGGAGCCACTATTTCCTTGAAATAGTTCCTCAATTATCTTCACGTGGCTGAGTGTACCCCATTCCAGACCCACTACTTCTCAGAATATCTGGCAGCACTGGGAATCGACCCTGGGACCTCTGGATCTGTAGCCAGGAACTCTGGCCACTAGATCACAGAGGTTGTCCTTCTCTAAACAGTGAAACCCACGTTTAATATTTTTTGGGAAGCAGTGAATGTTAGCACTAAACCAAGAAGAAACTTAAACACAGGAAACTAGCACTGAGATTACTGATTTCGAATCTCTGAAAATGAATGTTAATAACAAAAAAACTTAAATTGAGGTACATTAAATGGGGGTTCCACTGGAGTCAACCAGACATCCTGTTCACATGAATGTTGGCTGTGAGAACTTTTGTTATTTGAGGTGGTTCATGGAGGCTAGAGGGAGCTGAAAGGAAACATAAAGCAGAAAAATCCAGCACTCTCACCCCCACCATCCATGGTATTTGTTTCCACAACACAGAGCAATAGTAAGGCAAGAAGTTTAAGAATGAGACTCAGTAGATATCAACAAATCTGGTCAAGACTTAGGAATTGCATCAAAATACTGGTTCCAGAAATGAAAGTGACATTTAGAGTTTCAGTTCTTAAAATGAAGAATTATATTATGAGAGTCAGTAAATAGGTCACAAATGGATATAAAACATAAAACATGTGATATTTGAACCTGGAAAGAGCATTTATTTCTCGACATATCCTCCACAAACATTGATACACATGTCCAATCACTTTACCAGTGTGTCAAAACGTGCAGCACCGAAGTCTTGTGACTGCTGTCTCAGCCACTTCTGCACTTCTTTTTTAACTTCTTCGTCATCAGCATAATGCCTGCCACCCAGTTGTGAACCGTTTTACATAAAAAACACTTCCCACCATAAACATGTAACATTTCTTTATGAACATCCTTTGCACTGGGTCGTTTTGCCCACTGAAAAGTGGAAAATAGAACACTGCTCTTCGGTAGTACAGTCATCAAGTACAGTGGCCATTTTGACTACTGAAACCAGCCCCTGAACATACACATCTGCTACCTAGACTGTCATGAAGCTGGACTGTGCTGTTGCCTAGTGATACACATAGAAAACCTATTATGTCCATTAGAGCTGTTTCACTTCCATTTGTGACCTATTTACTGACTCTCCTTTGTATAACAACTCTTCAATTTTAATAGTACCAGACAACTGCATAAGTGCATACTGTAAACAAATATACAATGGTTGATGTCTTCAACATTATCCATCACACTATTTTTTCTTTAAAATAACGCTTTTAAGACTGGACTGCCCTCAGGTAAAAAGTGTACTCAGTTGGTCCCAATCAATAGATTTAGTCCCTGAGGGAATGAGTAGGCTTTTTACCTGAGAATGGAGATAGAGTCCAGTCTCAGTAACTTTTTTAAGTAAAAATAAGATGATGGATAATGTACAGAAAGTTAATCATTGTATTAATATACCATTTTTAGATCTTACTGTAAACAAACATGTTTAGATGTTCATATTGTGGTCTTCTTAGTTGTGATACCATGTAGTATTCTAGGTGGACACCGATGTTTCGGAGGACTATACTTCCTCCACCTTCAGAGTTGACCTTCACTCTTCTACTTCAAAGATGGATCTACTAGACTACTTGGTGTCACATCCCAGAAGACCATAATCTACACTGTATGCTACTACATGAGTTCCTCTCAGAAGGACAGTTAAACGAATAAGATTCTCCTTGATAAACAGATTTAAGTGTAAATAAAATGACTAGTAATTAGATGAAGTTTTTAATATGATTCAGTCTATAAAGGGACTGGAAGTCTTAAAAGACTCCAAATTATTTAATCGTTACCTAAATTGAATTTTATCTTTTGTGGATTATTTTGATATAATAGGTTTTAAGTTTAAGAATATGACGGTGGTAATTAAGATATATATAGTAAGATGACCTTGTCTTTTGTAATGGAAGGTAGTCGTAAATTTGATTGTACCTACTATATTTTAATTATTCCAAGAGTGTGATTTTAATTGTAATTGAATGTTATGTTATGTGATATATGATGACGTTCAATCGATTGGGCAGGAAACCAATTAGACTGGAAAAGTTGTATATGTATGTGACTTGTTCAAGAGTTACAATTTGTAACTATGATGAATGTTAATTATTATTATTATTATTATTATTATTTCCACTGTGAAAAGTGAGATGAATTTGGGAGTGGAAACCCACTGTCATGTTGTCTAGTTAATGACACAACATAAATATTTCAATGCAATACCTGCAAATGCCAAACAACAAGAGAGTCACAACTCCAAAACTCATTCATATTCTCATTTATTCCCATCATTTAAACTGAACCCCAAAAATTAAAACAGGATGTGGAAGCTTCTAAACACACCAATCATCTGTGGGGATTTACTTGGCAGTAGTTGGCATCCCTGATGCTTGTGGCCTTCAAGTAGTCGGCCTCGATGAGAATGTGCAGCTTGCGGTCATCACAGAAATCCACCTTGCTCAACCCACCACTCACCTCAATTGGGAACATGGATCTGTCACTGCAGAAGGTTATCCAATGTGTCACATCCACCCTTTGCTGAAAAAGCAAGAATATTGTAATAACAGGAACTTATACCCTAAACACATTCTTCAGAGTTCTGTATCCTTTACTGACATTCAATCACTACAGATACAAACCAACTATTGGTAAAGCTAAATTAAGTTTCAATGTGAACTCATCAAGGGCTTAAAATCTTGGTAATGGAAGAGAATAAATATATATAATCACACCCAGCAAGCTGGCTCAAGTAGTAACACCTCAAACTTCAATTCAACTATCTGCATCAGCATACCTGAGGGAACACTGAGCAGGCACGTTTATTGCCAGAGTACCATAGCAGGTCCCCGACTCGAGCTTCAGACTTGTTGATACAGCTACTGGAACTCACCCCCACCATCTGGGAGTCCATACCACCTGGACACATCATCAAACATGCAAAAAGTTGGGTACTTGCATACTAACAGGTGACCTATGTAAAATTAATACTAACTGCCAATTAGATACACATTCAGCAATAAAATCAGTTTTTGTGGCCATGTGTATGTTTTGTGTGTGTGGTTTATTTTACAATGCTGTTAGTATCCAAAGAAACCTCAGTCTCAAGAGTCAGTGTCCTGGCCAAGATATGAACTGAGCACCTCACAAATACAGTTCAGAAGTGTTACTATTAGAGACAACTTGCTCAGTCTCCTGGGATGTGGAACTGTCTACATTGATAGACAGACAGCATTTTGGAGGAACCTACTGCCCCTATCATCAGTGAAGAAAATGTAGGCAGTAGGTTCCTCCAAAATGTTACATAAATGTACTTATCTACTACACTACTTTACTTGGTTCAGCTTAGTCCATCACACTAGCAATAGTATAAAATGACTCATAGCACCATCCAGTGTGATTGGTGGTCAACCCAAACTAAACAGGTTAAGGAAATGAAATACTGAAATACAACTTTTATAAATCAATCACACTGGACACTGCAATGAGTCATTTTATACTACTACATTACATATTTCCACACCCAGGAGACTTGGAATATCAAGAACGAGAGTCTGGCTAGTGTCCAGTGGTGGATTTGGTGTTTGGGTGTTCAATCTTTGGGGTATGATACAACAGAGTTAATCCCTGTGTCAAAATTGTCTTGTGTATCGAAATAGAAACTATGGGAATGGTAGGTGACATCATAGCTCAGGTGATTAGCCTCTGGCTTCACAACATGGCAGCCTGGGTTTGGGCATGTGGGATTTGTGGTGGACCAAGTAGCACTGGGGCAGGTTTTCTCCAAGTACTTCAGTTTCCCCTGCCAATCTTCATTCCACCAATTGCTCCACAATCACCATCATATATCATCTTGGGCTGGTATAACAGCCCAGTAGTGGCTGCAGTACCAAGTGGACTGACTCACTTAGAATGGGAACCCTACAAAAAAAAGGTAAAGCTAACCCCATAACAGGCCGTGGAGGCCCAGTGCATTATGAGACATAAAGGCTCCACATTTTCTATACTCACACACGCCAGTGAGGCTGTCAGCCTATACATCATACAATGAAATAGTACCATATTTTGTATCAACTGCATATGTCCAGAGCCTAAACATTACAGATATCTGAAATTTTGATTCTACTGCTCTTATTTATTTTTCTAAGGTTCAGAACTTGATACTATACCTTCAGAATCTGTAGATGTTGGATCAGGTTCCTTGTAGAGCACCAAACTACCATTGTATGTCAGAAGTTGTGTGATTTTGTTCCTCATCGAGCTTAGCCGCCATGATTGTACCCAAGTGGCAGCCATATAGACCAATGTTAACAACATGATGAGTCTGGAGAGAATGACCAGCACAACCAGGACTCCAACCTATTTCATTGTTTGCTGTAATGTAAAGGTAAATATGGCATTCACACACATGTAATCAATTAAACTCAGCTCCACCCATTCCAACAATATGGTACGTCCTCTGTTGGTTAACACCAATGCCATTAAAATTACTGTCAACCCCTTTATCCAGCCACAAAATAGAATAACATATCAAAGTACTGACAACAATTTACAACTATATTACATCTATTTCATACACAAAAACTATAATTTTCTCCAAAAATCTAGCAAACTCAACATTAATAGCTTTATATAAAGAAAAGCAGGCTTTATTAACCAAACTCACCAATTCAAGGAATTCTAACAAAATATATCTAAGATTATATTTAAATCAAAGGTTAACACACACACACATATATATATATATAACACACGCATGGGGTCCTTTCGTCTCTGAATGGCAGCCTAGCTAAAAATGTAACCTTTTTCATTCCCTGCTTTTTTTTGAGGGCAGTTATAAACAAATAACATGTATCAATGAACGTACTGTTCTCAATGTAATAAACCTAACACGCTCTACCTTCCAACGCTTCCAACATACAGTTTCCGCAATTCCCCAACGATCCTGAACCTGAACACACAGCGGACCATAGCTACCATAGCTACCAACCTTATCACGGTAATCACAACCTACAAGGCCTACAAAATGGGATCTGTTTTCTCAGTTCGTTACGAAATTGTTATGGCGTGAGCGTAAAGAAGTTTTTTCGGTTATTGATACAGAGGTGTAGCCAATCGTGGTCACCCAACTCCGGTCCAAAGTCTGAGTATGTTTCGTCTGACCTACGAATTATCGAGTCGTCATGACAATTTGCTGTACAGATATCTCTGTTCAAGGAAGTTTTCTGTGATGTTTGTGATTTTGTCATAAACTATCAGATGAGCAAACGCACAACTTGCACAACTAGTGTAGTATATTTTTAAATTATCTTCATAGTACACGTACAGTTGTACAGGTAGGTGTGTGTCGTAGAGAATTTCTCGTTTTGTTGCCGTGTATCTTGTCCTGTAGGTAGGGAGTACAATATTTGATGAATCGCAAAAGGAACCAAATAATAATAATAATAATAATTCTTTCCTGTAATGCAAAACGTCGTGATTCTGTAAAAGCAATATGAATATATAAATAAACGAAAGTTGGGCAGTATTTATTTAAAACTGTATGGCATTTTCTGGATTTGCTTTTTCCAAAATGGTGAAAACATGGACTTAACATTTATATTGTAACGTGTATAGGCATTGCAAGGCAACGGCTCGGTAAACACATTCCCGCAACAAGAGGGCTCAACAATAGAAGGACATCAAATACTAGGCAACGGACTGGTAAGCTCGTGTTCTGGACACCAGTAGATGCCCATTGCCAGGCAGTGGACGTGTTTCTTATGGATCTGCCACGTGCCAGTCGTAAAGTAACTTTGGCTTTGACATCGAAAATCCGAATGGAACCAGTCGTAGATCAGAATGATCAGAATTGAGTGAGTCGTAGGCAGTCAAGGAAGAAGAGTTTGGCCCAAAATTTATTGTGATTACAAGTGATTGTACAAGGAGTAATCAATAAATCCAATTAACCAATCCAAACCTCGTCTTATAAGTCACCTGTTCACGTGACAATATATAAACAACATGTGAGCCCTATATATTTCCATCTTCCAGCATATACTTATCCTCACCAATATTACCAGTATGTCACTGAAGTCTGTCCACAACAATTCCATAATCTTACCAGACCACTTTGCTTGGCTTTGTTTGGATTTATTGGACACATCAACTAGTGTTAGTTACCTTACCTCAGGAGGACTGAAACTGTATCCTGTAACCTATTAACTTTGAAGTCCCTAGTTCCACCCCTATAATTCCATTAACATTTATTTTTGTGACATGAGAGTTAAGGTCTAACCATCACAGGAACAAAATATTTGTGTGTATGTGTGTGTGGGTGTGAGAGGGTGGGGGGAGAGAAAATTTCAGTAAGCACAAAACTGAATTCACAAACAGTTTAGTTAAGATTGTGGCTCTGGTGTAATGATGGTAGGTTTAGACATGGACCCATGATATGGCACTTTCTGCAATTGGTTTGTCACGTTAAATTTACAGCTCCACAATGCCAGTAAACTCAAGAGAGATTCTTAATGTTGTGACAGAACTAACTGAAGACAGGCGTGTTCGTGTCACAATGACAGAATCATTCAAGGGTGGCTGCATTGCTGCCACCACAACAATAATTGGAGGAATGGTACTGGGTCCAGCTGGATTGGCAATTGGTTTGTAACATTCATTGATTATGTATTGTTTTTGTAGATTTCTTAAATGTATATTCAAAGATAACTTCTCTAATGGATAAAAATGTAAAATATGGTGAAGATGTTGGTTGGAATAGCTACAGTAAAATGTCTGGCTGCAAGCTGGATGACTGGTGTTTGATTCCTGCCAAGGACAGTGATTTTATTCTTTGACACCACATGCACTATGGGGACTACAGAGGGGTTTAGCCTGTGGGATAAAGTGAACCATTTTTACCTGACCCTTCATCTCCACTGAGTGTTAAAGTTAGGAATGTATGTGGCTTTACCTCCACTTCCCCTATGCACCTTCATGGGATGCATATACACAGTGTGCCTTACTCTTAACAAATAGAATGGCACTGCTGTCACACTGTCTTTTATTTTGCCCCACATATTACAGGCATGCAATATATGGGATTTTGAAAAATGCTGTTTCATTTTAATGCTCTCTGCAAATTTAAACCATTTTCAATTAATAGCCCTTGCTTTAATGTGAATTGTGTGGTGATGGGGGAGGAATGCACAAGGAGCAGAGACAATTTGGCATAGCTAATCTCTGCACTTTCACCCCCTGGAACATTTTTTTGGTAACACAACTGTTGCATGAATTGGCGAGTACTTGTACTGCCATACAGAGTTTCTGTCATGAAACATTACTTCTTAGTTATTATAAAAAGTTGAACAATTCCATCCAGTGTGACTGGTGAAGTTTTTTCTTATTTCAGTTCATGCAGAAAATTCTTTAAAATATTAAATATATTACCTCTGGCCTCACAGTACATATTCTCCTTGGCTCTGTTTGTGATTGCAAATAAAACTTGGTTCAGACAAAATTCTGAAATTCATAGTTTCAGTACTAGGAATAATTCCAGTTTTTTCCAACAAACGACTCATCTGACAATGTTTCATAAAAGTCCTGCTTATGCAGGTGTCAAGATTTATAATCATCTTCCAGATAATATTAAGGTATTGGCATGTGACATTAAAAGTTATAAGAGAGCATTAAAAAAATATTTATATGAGCATTCTTTTTATACTGTTGATGAGTTTTTTTAAGCATAAAACTAGATAGCCACCTAGACAGCATAAATAACGTTATATCTTATGGTCATTTATTTATCTTTTTCTTGTTCTATGACTGTTAATTACAAACTGGTAGTATTTTATGCTCAAGTAATTTAGTGGTTGCACCTCTATTAATTAGCACACTTTCATAAAATGATTGAACTCTTCATAATTTGAGTGCAGTAATAGATGTGCTAATATGACATTAAAATTTAATTTCATTTTATATAGTGGATAACTTTTTATGTACAAAGTTAGATAAGTTGAATTGTTTTATCCGTTTATTAATTCAAAATATTAGCTATATTTATAATCTTCTAAATTGTTACCTTGCAATATTTGTATTTGCTTCTTAATCTTATATTTATTTTTGACAGAATCTTTTTATGACTGCATGTTCCTTGACTTCCTCTATTTCCAACAGTTGTACCAGCCTGGATTAACATAAATGAAATGAATGAATAAATAATAAATTTGAATATAGAAATTAGAATTTTAACAGTTTTAAATGTGTTTTGAAGTATATACTATATGGATTTATGGAGTTAAATATGATGATGCTATTATAAACATAATGGGTCATAGGTGTCTAATTTTTTACTGTATTTATTTTAGTTAATATGGGTATTTTATACAAAATGGCGTAAATACAAGTTCTATAGTAGGTTATTTTTTAAGTATGTCTATTAAATGAAACTTGTTAAATTCTTTTGCCCTATAATATTATTTATATTTATAGATCGATGTAAGTGTCTTTGTTTGATTGACTCGTGCAATTTTGTATATGCATGTTGATGTATCTGTATTCAGAAGGACTGTTTCCACATCCTGGTTTGTTAACATATATAATATATATTGAAAAATAAAGAATGGAATGAAATGAAAAAAAAATGTCCTTACATGTTTCGGTCTTTAGAGACCATCATCAGAGGGACATCAATATAGTTAGAAGCTACTATTACAGTATATATTCTGAGCGTTAAAATGTACATGTAATGTTGATAATATACAATTGGATATAAAATCTATAAAGTTTTTACAACTGCAGCGGCTGTCTTAATATATTAAAATTTCTGTAATTGGTTTGCTAAGATTTTGTTAGAATTTATAAACCAAATAGTTTCGTGTCCTCTTTCTTATTACTTCTCTTGACAGGGGCCGAACGTGTGCTGCCTTATTGTTCTTCAGAAGAGGATTCTTTGATGTCATCATGTGTAAAAACAACACAGTGCGCCCCAAACACCCACAGGACATCAAAGAACCCTCTTCTCAAGAAGGACAAGGCAGCACATGTTTGGCCCCCATCAAGAGAAGTAGTAAGAAAGAGGACATGAACTACTTGGTTTATAAATTCTAACAAAATCTTAACAAACCAATTACAAAAATTTCAATATATTAAGACAGCTGTTGTAGTTGTAAAAACTTTATAGATTTTATATCCAATCGTATATTATCAACATTACATGTACATTTTAACACTCAGAATATATATTGTAATAGTAGCTTCTAACTGTATTGATGTCCCTCTGATGATGGTCTCTGAAGACCGAAACATGTAAGGACATGAAGAACTGAAATATGAAAAATCTTCGCCAGTCACACTGGACAGAACTGTTTAACTTTTTATAACATTTTAGGGTGACGGACCAGAATGAAACAAGTCAAAATTACTTCTTAGTCTTGTAGATGGATATCAACATTTCAAAGGGATATCCAGCCTCCATGTTCATTATCAAAGTCTTTTCTCTCTTGAAGACAGAGTCTGCAGGTGCCTCCAGACATTGATATTTACCTGCAAGACTTCATGGTGCCACTGCCCCAAAGACAGTCTTAACAGCCACCACTGTCAAAATCTTGAAACTTAGGAAATATATTGCTTGCAAGACTGAGCAGGTTAGCATAGCAGCACTATAGAGGTAAAAGGTGAAGTTGCCCCTGTACTTAATTAAGCACTACGCCATGAAGGCGTATGGGGAGTGGTTATATAGATCCATGTTTGCTCAGTTCAGATCTTGGCTACAACACTGGCCATCCCAGTCAGATTTCTGTTTATTTTCCTCATTCCCTCCGCTTTTATAGCTGAGCTACTGACAGCATTGTAAAATAACTCGCTAACAAAAACTTCTTGCAGGGGGAGCAGTTGGAGGGTGTGCAGCTGCTATAATGAGCAAGGATAAGTTCAAGCCAATACCACAGGTCATCATGAATGACATGACAGATGCCCAGCGTGAAAGGCTTGTTGCCTCTGTCTCTGCAGTGATTGCAGATTTGCGTGTGGAGGATATTGCATTGCTGCTTCCACTGCTTCTCGAGAATCGAGCAGCTAAGGAGGCTATTTTGAGATCAGTCTTTGCATTTCTACAGACTGAAATGCAACTACAAATTATGGACTGAGAGAATGGATATATTTTGTCTAAAATATCTTTGAGGGTGCATCATTGTCTTTAGGAAGTTACAAGATCCCATTTTCAGCATATGTTGGGTACCAGAATCACCATATGGGAGATCTTGCTTAACACAAGACTTCTGTTGCATATTGAAGGTATGGCACATCCTCACAGATGTTTTAGACAAACATACAAATAATTTGTGATATCTTAATAATAATAATGTCCAAGATGTGCTTGGTAAGAAAGAGAAAGTTCTATTAATCTTGCGCAATCAGTCACCAAAGTTGAGCTGAGAACCAACAAACATATCATAGATTTACTTGGTCTCCATCAGGGTCAGTGATAGCATCTACATATATCTGCTTGTGATTGCAATGCCTCATCCTTATTAGAACACCAGGCGACAAGGGGGCAGTATCAGCCTGAGTGGTCAGAACTCTCACTTTTAGATGTGGTACCTTGCTGCTTAACTTGGAGAACAATCCCCTTTCTCTTGACTCATCTCCATGTCTTGATTGTTCAAGAATGTTTTCATTCATTCACCATTAAAGCTTCAGATCTTATATAAACAAAAAAGAACATTGGCATTTCCATTCTAACCGACTGAGCAATATTACTTCTCCACCAAAATACTGATAGAGGCTTGCAGAAGCTGCTTATAAAACTGATCTACGTTATACATCAGAATAGTATAAAGACAGTTCAAAGTGGTTTGCTGTTTCTGCATACTGGAATTTTGAAATAGAATTTTTCTATAATATACTCAACTTTCAATATAACCATTTTCCGTTATCTCTGAAGCCATTCTATGTGTCATTTAATCACACACTAATGATATCAATCCAGGTACTTAATTTAGATATCATGGTGCTCAGTGGGTGTGGCAACATCCATTTTAATTTATGTTTTGCTGCAAAGGATAAATATTGACGAGCTCTTTTTTATTAATCCTAATACATTTTGAGGGTTTATCTTAATACAGAATCGTAATTCACCACCGTACACTAATATTTCATTACTGCTGTACTTCTATAGTTTTTGAATGCAAATTGTCCTCAGTTCATGCCAGCTTAGATATGACTAATTATGGAAACAAAAGACAGTCCAGCAGACTTGCAACTGAAATATGTAAGGATGTGATAACATGTAAGATGTTTTTCTTAGTTTATTTAATGATACCCTCTCAGTTACATAGGTTATATTGGGTCATATGGATGGATGGTTGTGGATGGCGAACTGGAATTGTGTGGGACATATTTCAATCCATCATCTCAGTATTTGACTGGATTAAACAAAACCATGAAAGACCTAATGATACAGCCTGCCCTCAGGCCAAGAATTGAACCCAGGAACTTATAAATATGAAGCAGGAGTGGTAGACATTTGTGTTAATGCTTTGTATGAATCACACTGACATAGTGTTATATGGGATTTAATGTTCCCACACTGTTGAATATTAGAATTGTTAATACTTATGGTAAATAAAGTAAGCAAGAAATATTAATTGTAAGGTATGTTACAAAATGTCAAATTTGTTAAATATAATTCCATCAGCTTTTAAATTGTAAGTTACTTGTGATTTTGAACAGTACGGCTGACCTGTTTCCATCAGTATGAATGAAATATGTTACTTATATCCTTGCGTAATTGCACAAAAGTCTCCCCTATATACTTGTAGTTATATCACTTTTTTCTTTTCCTAGTGGGGTGGGGCTAAGTCCCTTGTACTGCAGTTGGTGGAATGAAGATTGGCAGGGGAAACTGAAGTACTCGGAGAAAACCTGCCCCAGCACCAATTTGTCCACCACAAATCCCACTTGACCAGACCCGGAATCAAACACAGGCCGCCGCGGTGGGAAACCAGCGACTAAACGCTTGAGCTATGGCGTGGCCGATGTGTTATTACACAACAGATGTGATGACAGCAAGGAGCAGCAGTTCCAAATTTCGTCACTTCACAGAGCCCTTGCTTGAAAAGTCAGGATGCAGGAGCCTTCTCTAAATGTTTGTCTTCTGCCTAGACCTGAACTTGACTGGTTTCACCCAACCCCATGTAAGTAAACATTTGTATGGTGTCAGAACATTCACCAGTTATTTGGATGATAAAATCGAGGAGGCTGAGATGGGTATGACAGGTAGAACCCACAGAAGGTGATAAATATGAAACAATCTTGGTTGAAAAAGCTAGAGGTAAGAGACTTTGGAAGACCTAGGCATAGATGGGAGTATAATGTTAAAATGGATCTTAAAGTATCAAGGTGGGAGATTGTGATCTCGATTAATTTTGCTCAGAATGGGATCTGATGGCAGCCTCTTATGAACAAAGTAATGAATATTTGAGTTCGAGAAATTCCTGAAATTTTCTCAACTGACCATCAGTTAGCTTCTCAAGGACAGAGCTCCATGGAATTGATCATTAATTAGTATCCAATCCCATTTCTTATCAGGAAGAAGCTGAGTAGCATTACATTACAGTTATGTAATTGGAACAAAACTGCTAGGAATACCTAACTGACAGGTTGGACTTGTATTTGGGAGATGCTCGGTTTGAATCTCAGCTGGGGCATCAGCTATCATGACTGGTGTTTTCATGGTTTCCCTCAGTACTTCCAGGCATATTTCAGGATATATCTTGATTAGGCTATGACTGCTTCCTTTCAGTTCATCAGTAACCCTACTATTTGATATTGTATAGCGGGCTTTTTAGTGTCAAAACCAGGGCTTGAGGTGGGGCGGGATGTGGCGGGATGGCATCCCGGTTCTTTTCTAAATGGCTTAAAAGCATCCCGTTACTTCACCTCCAGTAAATGCAATATACAATAAAATATGAATTAAAAGGGGAAAACCATCCCGGTTCTATTTTCATTCCACCTCAAGCACTGGTCAAACCTGCCCGTGATCTACCACCCCCTCCCATCATCATACCTCACTTTAAGCAAAAATATTGGTAAAAATAACACGACACATGATGTTTGTTGTAAAAGCAACAAGTAACTGGGCTGTCTCTGATGTCTGTATCCAGTTGGAAGGAGAAAGCAACACAATTGGAAACGTTTCCACGCATCATTTCTATTTCCCGCACAGTGGTGTTTCTTGATAATTAAAGATCTTGAATAGTAGCTATGATCTCTTTCTTATTTTATGTTACGAGTGAATTTACATGCTTTTCACATATAATTTCCTTATAGGCCTATGCGATCGACCAAAAATCGTCCCACGTTGGACATGCCTGTTGTATAGCATGGCTACTGATGGTGTAGTAAAACACCTCACAGAATCATAATGACTGTTATTGTGTTCATGCAATAATATTGGCACAGAACCTGTCATCATGGATTTTGTGTACCTCTAGTGTGTTTGTGAAAAAGGTTTCGGCCCTCTCACCTCCAAGCATAGTGTCTCCCAGAGTAAACAGTGTACAGTAAAATTTAAGATGTTAAATCTGTTGATAAGCCCTCTAGCCAGCTTCCCTTCATTAAAATAATAAAGTAGACATATCACCTGTTAAGCCCTTTTCAGGGCTTAAGAGGCCTTGCTTCGACGGAAGAGGTTTCCTCGGTGAAGAAGTCTCTTAACCACACTTAAAAGTTGATACGTTACACTTCCTTTATTGATAACACTACACAGTTACAAGCAGCGGTCACTTGCAATTATAGTTGCACTTTTGGCACACTGTACACTACTTCAAGATTCACAACACTACATTGCAGTATGGTAGATGATGTATGTCAATCTCCCAGCCTGATATCTCACCAAACATACATGTTCACTAACTAATCGGCCAATGCCTGTCATCTGGGGATCAACCCTTTTAAATACTGTGAGATGATGTAACATCCAGAACCTTCTGTTTCCAGATCATTCTTGCAGCTTCTTCTACTGTTTCATAGTTTGAGAACATTCTGGAAGTTTCTTTTATCAGACTGGCAGTGGGATGAGTAGTCATTCACATACCATACCAACTATTAAAGAACCTTCTAGTAGCTCATATCTGTACATTACTCATTGCGAATTCTTAAAACAGTTAATGCAAGATTGGGCATAAGTTACATTTAGTATAGTGTTGGTACTGTAATAAATATGGGCTGTGCCATAGCTCAAGTGGTTAGTCGCTGGCTTCCCACCGTGGTGGCCCGGGTCTGGTCAAGTGCAATTTGTGGTGGACAAAGTGGCGCTGGGGTAGGTTTTCTCTGAGTACTTCGGTTTCCCCTGCCAATCTTCATTCCACCAATTGCTCCGCATTCACCCTCACCTATCATCTGGGGCTAGTACAATATGCCAGAAGTGGCCGCAGTACAAGGGACTTAGTCCCACCCCACTGGCAATTAAAAAAGTAATAAATATTCATTTCTGAAATATATGCCGGTAGGTAATGATCAGTTACAAGCTTCTCTGGGATTCTGACTTTGTTTTTGAAATATGTCCATTCCACCTGATTGTTATATACAGGGAGTCCCAGGAGGAATATCCCAAACTTCGGGAGGGTGTTCCTTATGTTAAAGTATGCCGATATAACACAAAACACCTATGTCCAAAGTTGAACGGTTACGGAGATAATGGCCAGAGAAGTGTGAAACATTGACCGGTGTTACACCCTTGTTGATTACACAATACATATTAAAACTGGCAGGAATATGTGGTTTCTGTAATGTTAATAATGTACGTAACATCAAACTAACTTGTGAGTGACATGAAGCTATAAAATTGAACTACACAAAAACTCGCACGCCATGTCATAGTTGTCCTTTGGGTTCCAAGCACTATACATGACTGGCAAGCACTGATGTAACATGGCTCACTGCGCGCATTGTGGTAGCTGACTATAACATACATAACTATACTAAACATACATTTGCAGAAAATCTCTTTTGGAATTTCGTTACCATTAACTCATGTGAATTATTATGGGACCACATATGCACATTTCGTAAATTATTTACACCGTCCCGGGTAAAAGACACCTCATCACTGAATAAAACGATGCTTAACAGTTCGGGATGAGCTTTTATCCAGTGGCACAAATCCATACACTGTGTGTGGTCGCCTGGTTCCAGATGTTGTACCCTTTGATCATGGTAAGAATACAACTCATCATCATGTAAAGTTCGCCACACCTGCATACGTGATACGCCGATGCAAGAGGCCATTCTACAAGTGGACAGACGCGGACTTCTCTGAACCATCTCAAGAATGTTCTCTCGTGTGTTTATCATTCATATATCCTCCCTTTCAGAGGGCACAGAAACACTCGGAAGAGAACCAGTATCACGCAATGTCTGGTGAATTCGTGTAAATACACTTCGAGATGGAATCCTTCGATCGGGAAAACGCCTTTGGTATTCTTCAACAGCAGCACGTGCATTGCCACCGCAAAATCCACACACAAAATGCATATCACAATATTCCACGTGTGAAAACACAAAAGGCATTTCAGCAACTCCGCACAATTAACCTACCACCCATTCACAATGCGGCCGCAATGTATCCTGAGGGAGCACATGAGCTTACGGCTAGTGTGAATCACCACACTCAAGGACAAACATAGATAAGATGTCTCAGCTGACAGGTAGAGTGCGTGGACCCGCCAGAAGACCACACTTTTCTCGGGCCATTATCTCCATAACCGTTCAACTTTGGACATAGGTGTTTTGGGTTATATCGGCATACTTTAACATAAGGAACACCCTCCCAATGTTTGGCACATTCCTCCTGGGACACCCTGTATTTATTTTTAAATTCAAATGTCTTTGTTCCTTATTCTCTCTCTCCTAGTTTTTCTGTCTACAATTCAAAAATCTCATCTCAGCTGCTGTTTGTCTAAAAATATCTTGCTTAATCTGTGTCTATGTTTCTGCTACAAAGTTCTGGTTATGAAAACTGTCCATGTTTTCTGAAATTCTGGATTTCTAATGAGCTGCTACAAAGTATGAACAAATAGCTCAGTTATGTATATTCTATATAAAAGTCACAATTCATTTAGACAAAAATACAATTATACATAATTTTACATCACTTAATTCAAATGTATTGGCAACAGTCAATGACTATATGTACATCCCAACAAACAAATGTGCACAACGCTACAACTAACAACAATGTACCAAAATTACTCACTCACTACTTCTTTATCCGCTGAATGTCCCAAATCGTGACTGCATTAAAATAATCCTCATATACAATAACAACTGAATTTTCATACACTAATTGTGAAACCTCATATTCTTTTAAGGAAATGAAAATTAAACACAACTGCTGAATATTTTTGGTTCTGTACAAAGGTATAAGGCTTTCCAGTCAGTTTTGTTAACTGTGTTATCAGATTAGTGGTCAAGTATCCGCATGTTGCCAGACACAATTTTATTCTCTAGCATTGCTCCTGATGGAATGTCAATCCTGTCGCCGTGGTTTGCTATGATGATAACTGTGCCCTGGAACAAAATTTCATTTTGTCAATGAGCTCCTTTCTTTACCTGACTGTAAGATGAGGATTTTAAAATACTGTATTTCAGCATCTGTTGCGTTGATGTATCACTCTACACATTCACTTGTCTTTAATGTAACTGTTCACAATCCCTCCTTAACCGTTCAGCGTGGTTTGACGTGTATGTTTCGTCAGGTATTTAAATCGTCTGGGGGGGTTCGACGTGTATGTTTCGTCCAGCTGCACACCTATGTTATAACGCCCATAATAATTGATGGTTTTGCCGTAGATTGTTAGATTTTTCGCTGGCCTGTTGTCCGTAGTTCAGAGTATAATAATCCACGAGTTTAGCTGCGCTAAATCATCGTTACATATGCCTGTCTTGCAGCAAAGTTCATGTTGCTCTTGGGAGAGGTTTCTCCGTTCTACTGTTATGAAAGGCCTGTGTTCTTTCTTATGAACTTATAAACAGCTGGACAGGTCAAAGGGTAGGCATCAGACGAAGAGAGACACCAAAAACTGATGCCGGAAGCAGCGTCATCAGCAGCGACTTGAAGCACAGAGCAAATGATGCTCGAGATGGTTCAAGTTCGTATAGCAACAGGCGTGACCAGAGTGGTTTGAACGGCTGCTGTACTGCGATGTGGAAAGCAAATGGAAAAACTACCACATTATCACTTTTCCTGGATAGTCTCTTTCCAAAAACAGAAGATCGCATTAAGTGGAGGAACTGTTTTGGAAGAGACTGTGGACCTGTCGTCTGACAGATTACTGATG